TAGAGACTGGGGAGAATGGGTCTCTTGTAAGAGTGATTTGAACTTGGCCTATAGATATGAGGAACGATTTTGGAAGCAGAAGGCTAGGATCCAATGGCTCAGAGAAGGGGATCATAATTCTAAATTTTTTCATGCCCAAGTTAAGCAAAGAAGGGTTACTAATAGTCTTGATAGTATTCTGAAACCAGATGGATCTCTATGTTTGAATGTCCAGGATACTCTCTTTGAATTGCTGTTTCATCAGATTTTCAAATCTTCTAATCCTTTGGATCAATTTTGTAACTTACAAAATTTTTTCATGCCCATGTTAAGCAAAGAAGGGTTACTAATAGTCTTGATAGTATTCTGAAACCAGATGGATCTCTATGTTTGAATGTCCAGGATACTCTCTCTGAATTGTTGTTTGATCAGATTTTCAAATCTTCTGATCCTTTGGATCAATTTTGTAACTTACATGGTATGCCTAGGACTATTTTTGAGGATATGAATTCTGACTTAATTAAGTTGGTTAAGGAAAAAGAGACTGAAACTGCCTTGTTTGATATGAGTCAGGATAAATCCCCTGGGGCTGATGGATTTACTGCTTTGTTCTTTCAAAATGCCTGGCCTGTCATTAAATATCATGTTTGTCTTGCTGTGTATAATTTCTTTTCTTGTGGGAAAATGCCAAAGGGTCTGAACCATACTGTTATAACTTTGATCCCTCAAAAGAAAAACCCTACAAAGGTTGCTGATTATAGACCTATTAGCTTATGCTCTGTTGTTTATAAGATTTTTGCTAAGGTGATAGCTAATAGGTTGAAACCAGTTCTTTCTTCTTGTATTTCTGTTGCCCAATCTACTTTTGTGCTTGGTAGACAAATTTTGGATAATGTGATAATTTCAAATGAATGTATCCATTACTTAAATAGCGAGAGAAAGGGTAAAAATTTCTACATGGCTTTAAAACTTGACATGGCAAAGGCATATGACAGAGTTGAATGGTCCTTCATTGCTAGAATTTGTAGGCAGATGGGTTTTTGTGATGTCTTTGTTTCTTGGATCTTGGCTTGTGTTTGTTCCACATCATATTCTTTCAATGTTAATGGTGCTTGTCTGGGTTATTTGCAGCCAACTAGAGGGCTTAAACAAGGTGATCCTCTATCACCTTACTTGATCATTCTTATTTCTGAAGCTTTTCCAAATATGATCTCTCAATCTTGTTCAGTGGGTGAGTTTAAAGGAGTCAAAGTTGCTACGAATGCCCCCGTTATTTCTCATTTATTGTTTGCAGATGAATCCATCTCTTTTGAAAAGATGATGGTCACCATGCTAATTTAATAGTCTCTATTCTTGCCAAGTATGGTCATGATTCTTGTCAGCTTGTTAACTTTGATAAATCCTCTATTTTTTTTCTCCAAAAATGCTCAAGAAGATTTTTGTAGTGATATCTCTATGGCTCTTTCTGGCATCTCTAGGGTTACTTTCTCTCAGTACATAGTCTTGCCCCTTGGCATTGGGGGATCCAAAAAAACTATTTTCCTGTTTGTTAGTGAGTGTGTCAAGTCTAGAATCAGGAATTGGAAAAACAAATTTTTGAGTGAGGTTGGGAAGGAAAATTTAATTAAGTCTGGGCTTAATGCACTGCCCACTTATATCATGTCTTGTTGTAGAATTCATGTAGCTATTCTTAAAACTATCTTTGTGGGGTCAAAATGAGAGTGTGAGGGATAAGATTCATTGGGCTGAGTGGGGGAAGTTGACAAATCATAAAGAGAGTGGTGGGTTGGGATTTAGGGATCTAGTGGCCTTTAATGAGGCTTTTTTTGTTAAGCAACTCTGGAGGTTTATTACTAAACCTAATCTTTTGGTGAGTAGACTCATTAAGGCAGGTATTTCTGGAACTCTAACCTGAGATATGCTAGCACTAAATCCTCTGACTCTTGGCTATGGAGAAGCTTTCTCAGTGCTAGAAAATCATTTGATCTTGGGGCCAAAATGGATATTGGGAATGGTAATAGCACTTTCAGTTGGGATTCCACTTGGATTCCTAATGTTCCTCACTTCAAGCCTATTTGCCATTTCAGTGGGGATAGAGTTAGACTTAAGAAATTGTGCGGGTTGATTAGACCCCAAACTAGGGATTGGGACCAAGACCTTGTCCAACAAACCTTTGCACCTGCAGATAATAAATTTTTTTTAAAGATTCCACTTACAACTGGTGATTCACATGATAAATTGATCTGGCATGGAGGCACTCAAGGTAGATTTTCTGTCAAAGATGCCTATCAGACCATTGTGCAGCATAGGAACTTCATTCAGGGGAAAGCTGGCTCAAGTAAAGACCCTAAAGCTCTTGCTAGAATGTGGAAGATTACCAGATCATTGCCTCTGAAGCCTAAAATCAAAAACTTCTTGTGGAGATGTTGACATGAGTTCATAAGCTGTAAAACTAAACTGACCAAGAGGGGCATGGTTCTTGACTTGATATGCTCTAACTGTTGAGACAGTGCAGAAGACATGAATCATATTTTGTTTAACTGTTCTAGACCTAAGATTTGTTGGAAGCTGTGTGGTCTTGAATGGGAACCTGGGCCTGCTTCCATGATGTCATTTCAAAACTGGTGGTTCAATATCTGTGTGGCTGATAGGTTCAAACTGAAAAAGGAAAGGTTTTGCTTATCTGCAGTGTTGGTGGAATATGTGGAAAGCAAGAAACAAATGGCTCTACAAGGGTGACTGGATTCATGAGAGGTCTATTGTTGACGAGGCTAAAGCGGAATGGAGGGAGTAACAGACCAGACCTGATACTATACAATGGAAACAATTCAAAGGGTCTCTTGCGGCACCTATTCAACAAGACAATTTTTCCATGGGTAAAATATACATGACCCCCCTTGTATTATACGAAATCTGCGCGTTTTCCCCTAATTTTAAAAATTGCGTCAGACCCCTTGTATTAACTAATTGTTGCACGATTGCCCTCTCTCCGTCAAACTTGGCGGCGCGTGCTGTACACATTCATGTACTGCGATAATTATTCATTTTTTTCATTTATTTTTATTTAAAATTAAAATTTACTATTTTGCCCCTTCATTTTCTACTTGTTGTTGGGCAAAAAGTAATGTTTTTCTGCCCCTAGAATTCGAGCCTAGGCCAAAAAATTAATAGGCAAGACTTTAAACCACTTGGCCACCATCATTCCATGTGCATATCTAACACATTCATTTAAACAGCACGAACAACAAAAAACTTATTCAAATAAAAAATAAAAAATCACAAAATCACAAAATAATATAATTATAAGAAATATAATTTAAATAAAATAAAATAAAAATTAAATTGAATAAAATAAAATAAAATAAAAATTTGAAAATAATAAATAAATATATTACTATTTATTATAAAAATAAAATGATAATTTAATATAAATAAATTAGAAATATATCAATATGAATTAAATTTTAATATTAAATTTAAATATACATTTTTTATAAATTGAATTAACATAATAATCAAAAATAAAATTAAACTAAATTAAATTAAATTTATTTATAATAAATAAAATGATACTTCTATATATAATATAATATGAAAGTAGTATATATATAATATGGACAACATCATCATTGCTCAGGAGGCATTTCAGTTCCTTAATAGGCACTCCACTGGCCCAAATTACTTCATGGCTTTGAAATTGGACTTAATGAAGGCCTTTGATAGGGTTGAGTGGTATTGTTTGCAGAGGATCATAAACCAAATGGGCTTTCACTCAGACTTTGTCAAGCTTATACTGATCTGTATCTCCACCTCTACTATCTCCTTCAAAGTTAATGGCAAAGTCAGTGGATACATCACTCCTTCAAGAGGAATAAGACAGGGGGACCCCATGTCCCCGTACTTATTCATCATTGTTGCAGAACTTTTGTCTACTCTGATCACTAACTCCCAACAGCAAGGATGTGTTCAAGGTCTTAAGCTCTCAAGGAATGGCCCACCCATCTCCCATCTTTTATTTGCAAATGACTCACTGTTATTCAACAAAGCTGGAGTTGATCAGGCAAGACACCTTCTTAATCTTCTGGAGCAATACAGGCTTTTATCTGGCCAAAAAGTTAACCTAAAAAAATCAGGCATTTTCTTTAGCAGGAATACTCCTCAACCCATGAAAGATAGAATATGCAGTGTTTTCCATGGAATTGTTCCCCACAAACCAGGTACCTTGGGCTACCTTTGGAAATTGACAGGTCCAAGAAAGAAGTTTTTGATTATATCCTAGACTCTATCAGAGAAAAAGTGCAAAGCTTGAAGAACAAGATATTATCAATAACTGGCAAGGAAGTCCTTCTCAAATCTGTTATACAAGCCTTGCCTATATTCTCAATGACCTGTTTCAAGATCCCAGTTTCAATTTGCAAGGAAATCTCAAAGCTTTGTGCACCCTTCTGGTGGCACTCGAGTAACAACAATGAATCTGGGATACATTGGAGGAGCTTGGGAAAGAATCTCATTACCAAAGGTCAAGGGGGGCTTGGGATTCCTTGATTGTCTTTTTAATAAAGCCCTTATTTACAAGCATCTTTGGAGAATTGCAACTAATCCTGACCTTTTGGTAAGAAAAATCCTCAAAGATATATACTTTCCTGATTACTCCATTCCCATGGCTGAAAAAACTCAGAAAGGATCATGGGTTTGGAATAGTTGGCTTTATGTGATGCCCCTATTTTCCAGAAATTTAAAAAAGGAAATTAGAAATGGCTTATCCACCAAAATCGATGATATGAACTGGGTTCCAGGGTTGATGAAACCTCATCCCACTCTGATTGAAATTGCAAGGGGCCATTTAATCTGGGTCAAGGACCTACTGCAGAATGATGGGAAGGATTGAAATGCTTGGCTAGTGGATCAAGTGTTTGACTCAAAAGATAGTGCAACCATCCTCAATATCAACACCTTGAATCTAGAGAGACCAGACAGATGGATTTGGGGATTAGATCCTAAAGGGCAATTCACAGTGGCTAGCACTTACAAGCACCAGGCCACTCAGAAATTTTATTTACTGGATATCCAAGAAACAAGCTCAAGGTTCAATCATCCTCATCAGATGTTTTAAAGTTGCTGGCATTTGAAAATCCAGGGGAAAATCAAGCATTTCCTTTGGAAATGCATATCTACTACTCTTCATGTGGCTATGAACTTGAGGGAAAGAGGAGTCATTGTTGACACAATCTATTCTCTGTGTGGAGAGCAACAGGAAACTGTTGAGCACTTGATGTTCTCTTGCCCTCGAGCTTCCAGAATCTGGGACTATGGACCTGTTCACTGGGATGGACTTATAAACCACACTCACTCTTTTAAAGCTTGGTGGAGTCAGGTAAACTCAATAAGGCAGTCTGATGTGGTGATTGATAGAATCCAATTGTCCACCTACTTGCTATGGTGGCTTTGGAAATCAAGAAATCTTTGAGTCTTTAATCAATCCCTAATGCTTGAAAATATAGTGATTGTTGCAGCCCTCTGAGATTGGCAGGAGTTCACTTCAACCTCAGGCACATCCTCTGGTCCTGGTAGTTAGATTTCTTTGCTTTCCTCTTTGTTTCTAGTTTAGTGAAGGATATGTTTTTAGCTAGGCCTTGGGCAGTGGATAGATGCATAACCTTTGTTTTTCTGTGTTTTGATTCTAGACTTCTCTAGTCTTTGAGGCTCTAGGTACTTTGCACAGTACCTCTCATTTTTCCATTTGGTTGTCTTTTTTGTTTTTGAACTTGGTTCGCTTTGTCTAATATATATCATCTCTATCGTTCCGGCAAAAAAAAAAAAAAAAAGAAAGTAGTAATTTGTAAATAAAATATTTTCTATGCAATAGCTATATATTATTTGTATTTATTTATTTTTTTATTTAGTTATGATTTTATCTTTTTTTTTTAAATGGTCGACAAATATATAAATTTAATTTTTTTTCCATAAAATTCTTATTTATAAATTTGTAATAAATAATTTCAGTTTTTATTATTTATTATTTCTATTTATTTTTAAATTTAGTAAATGTTGTATGTCCCATTTTTGTTTCGTTTTATGATGTTATTTTTTTATTTCTTTTTCCCCATATTAGGT